CAGTATCACTAATCAATATGCACTATTTCTTTGAGTAACTCCCACAACCGAGTTTTTGTTAACTTCGGCATTGATCAAGTAATTCTTCGTATTTTTGTTGAGCAAACGCGATGATGATGAGTTTCTGGAACTAGGAAGTTAGGAAGGAAGGAACTAGGAACTAGGAAGGAAGTTTCTGGAAGTTCCTGATGAGATGAGTCTTTCTTTGATCAGTTTACACGAGGTTGATAATGATATTTATTTTCGGCTAACGTTTCGACGTCTTCGTCTTCCTCAGAGCCAATGATCCGAGTCGATGGTCCATGCTTGGTATTCGTCTCGACGTGGCAGCTTCCCCTTCGTGTCGAGTCAGGTCTTCCTCAGTGAGCCATCTCCTCGAATGAGGCATCCTTACTCAGTGATGCATTTTTATGCAGGTTGCTGATGGTGGATAGCTGTGATTATCTGGTGATAGTGTCATTATCAGCTAGCACAAAGCCTAATAATATTTCGAAACCGACTTTCAAGCACCAAACCGGAACCTTAAACCAAAACCTTTCAACCTATCACCGGACAATCATAGCTATCCACCTTCAGCAACCTGCATAAAAAAGCATCACTGAGTAAGGATGCCTCATTCGAGGAGATGGCTCATTGAGGAAGACCTGACTCGACACGAAGGCGAAGCTGCCACGTCGAGACGAATAACAAGCGTGGACCATCGACTCGGATCATCGGCTCTGAGAAAGACAAAGATGTCGAAATGTTAGCCAAAAATAAATATCATTATCAACTTCGTGTAAGCTCATCAAAGAGGGAATACATAAAGAAAGCGGTCGCATACGGCATTTTTGGTACATTGAAAGCCTTGGCCTCTCATCTAGTGATATTTTTCAATAATAAGACCAACAATAGTGAAAGGAAATACGAAACTCGACAAAGTTGACCAATATACTACCTCCTGATGGAGTTCATTATAAGAAGCAAGATCGTCTCGCAGGCATGATATGTCAACAGGGAACAATTCTAGCTTACCTATATCCATCATGAAAACCGTGCAACGGTAGTGATCCTGCGCTTACCGTGCTCGCTATCTAAGAGCTGCCACTGCGTATTTTTTCCCACTGCGCTACGACAATCCTGAATCCAGATAATCTTCACTTTTTTATTTACCGCCCACTACAATTTTCACAGCAGCGTATTATGCGAAATCAGCCTCAACGATGCTGAGGTGTTCGCAAAGCTTGGACCTCGGGCTGGATCGAACTACGATTTTCCTTTCCGCGGCTTCGAGCATTACATGGTTACATTAGGCATTAGAGGGGCCGGAGTCCAAGTTTTGGGAATACCTCAGCATTGTTTTGATTGAATCCAGATACACTTCTTCTAGCATTTGCACTATGTATTTTGCATCGTATAATATCTCGTTGCTTTCCAACACTTTCACACGTTGCCAGTATAATTCTGCTCTTCATATGATATTCTTACTTACTGACAGCGCTGTGTGGACAAGATCCGTTAGCGGCAGGATTGCACGGGATGTCAAACTCACAGCAGGAAGGCCGTCGACCCAGTGGTCAGAGTTCCTCATGGGAACAAGAGCAGAAGCGATGATGCTCAGCGAGTTCCTGAAGCCAGCAGAGCTCATTGGCTCACTCTTGAAGACGATAGGGAGAAATAGGTGAATTAGTGGAGATTAAGGAGGCGTGCGATACATGTGATTAACAGCGCTTATACTTACACTATGTGTGCAAATGTTAGACTCGTTACGAGCGTTCTTCTGTATTAACGTTTGGCAAATAAAGATTTAATTACTCAAGCTTGCGATAAGTGCGGCTGCAACACAACTAAGAAGAAGTTAGTTCTCTAACATAGAGGAAGCCATTTGTTATCAACTAAATCATGAAGATAGCATTAGTATCAACAGACCTCTCTAGTGACCTCATTTTTGTTCCAGTTAGCTTCATGGAAGGTTGGTTACACTGTGAATGCCTCATTCAGATTTTTCGACAACATCGATTGTACTGGATGTGAAATTCCCATTCAAAATTCGAAGGGCAGGCCAACGACAAATGTGTTTAAACAAATAACGAACGATTTGGATTTATCATGTACGTTTTCACTTCAGTGGACGATAGAAGTTCTTGCAGACAAGGAATGCTCTTCTTCGCACGTAATAGTTTGAATTGAAACGCTAGTGAACCACTGGAAAGAATTTGTCCACGTTGTTCATTNACAGCTATACAGTTTACCTCAGTAGTCAGTCACAAAGTAGAATTTGTGTGTAGAAGGTGCTATGTATCAACAACGAACGCGTCCACAAAAGATATTTGAGCGAGCAGTGTGCCCACAGCCATTCCTTCCTGAGTTGTTGGTCTTCGTAGACGCATTGAGCCGAATCCAGTGGAGCATAGCACTACTGGGATGGAGTAAGTTCACTCGACAATGCTCTTTTATTCTGGACAATTAAACAAAATCACGAAAGAGCCATTGGTGCAGAGTGTATTGATCTTAATATTGCGTGTGATTAGCTGTTTCTGCATGTCGTCCTACTCTGAAGACGCCCAAGGCGTCGAGCATTTGTTAAGTGTTAGAAACCGACCAGTCATCGTTGGTGATAACGCACGGGTTGATTATTCTGAGATAGGTGTTCTTGTTTTCAGTCAATTTCATTCTTTATCTGCAATAGAAAGTCACAAACTTTCATTTCTGGATGTTCTGTGAGCCAAGAAAAGGCCTTCTCTGATGTGTGAAGTACTGATTTGCGAAGTAACTGCGTGTAACTTAATAATAACGTAACTTATAACTTGTGTTACGTTATTCAAAACATTTTGTGGTTTATACGAATCTGAGCCTTTCTAACAATTCTTTGGCAACAATCGCTAGAGAATATCCACACATGGTGAACCAGAGATTTGCATGTCCTTGAAGCTGAGGATTACCAATGCGCTTCATCGGCTCGTTGATCACTTAAAGACGAATGACTTGGATGTTATGCATTAAAATGTGAGGAATGTTTTCATGAAAATAAAAAAATGTAGATTTTTTGCATATTTAAGTGCGTCGGATGCTGTGGTCAAAACCTCATTATTTCGGTTATCATTAGAACTCTTAGAGACAAAGCATTCACTTCACCGCAGCCTTTTTCGTCTAATCAGCTGCATGTCAATTCCTTATTTTCTGTGACGCTAATATTTTTGGAGGGCCTGGAAGACTAGCACGCCTTCCGAGTGCAATAAACAAATGACTTGTGTAAGTCGTTATCGTTCTTGTTTCACATCCAAAGATGAGAAAGAGCAAATACTCAGAGGTCCGGCCTTTCTTCTAAGCGAATATAAGGACTCCTAAACATGTCAACTTAGTAGCGTGCTCTCCGCGTTTGCACCTCTCAGACTCCTAAAATTTCAACCTTTTGCACTAAAAATTAACGTCGCACGGTAAACTCCGGTCATTCCAGAACGTTATAAAATTTTACATCAGCCCTTTAGCGATGACAAACAAGTAACTGGCATCTATTTTGTTGATATTTGGCCTTTGCTAACTAGGTGGGAGTACCCGATCAAAATTTTTCACCTACGAATTGGGTGCATGTTAAGCGAAACGTCAGCAGTCATATGTTTCACGGTCTTCTTAAAGTGTGCATAACATTTATGGATATGGAAATAAGGTAAAGTGCGAGCGAACTCTAATTCCGGAGTGAGGTGACCTTTTTAATTGTTGAGTCAACACTTGTACATGTTGTCATGTGAAAGGATGTGAAGTGGAGGAGATGGATCAAATGAGCATCCGGTCTTTTAAAGCAGAAGAACACGATCGGTTGGTATCGCTGTGCATTTAAGCCTGTGGTGTTCATTGGAATCGAAAATCCTATCAGAACCCTAAGACACTAACCTACCGTACGAATTCAATGTTGCAGTGGAATTTTCGAAGACATGCTTTTTTCTCATATAGTGTTTTCACCCCATATAAGGATTGATCTACATGGAAAACTGACGTGCGCCTTAGTGAAGTATATCCATATCCAGTTCCATTATAATGATAGATAAAAGGATAAAGCTCTGGTCGGTGATAAATCCCTAAAGGATACGCCATACATTCGATTTCAGCAAGCATCGTTGGAGGTGATTGAATGCATATCTGGCCTTTACAATGACTCGCGGTGGCAAACCGATATATCGAGCCATTGCTGCTACCCTCCCAGACAAATCTAGTACCAATTTGCCAACTCCGTAGAAACCGAAGGCTTTGGAAACCGTGAGAACAAGGTTCGAGTCCACTTGTGTCACAGTGGCGCCTCCAACCACTGCGCCACACGCGGCCTGCCTAATGATGCAAATAGTTTATTATAATATGTAATTGTTACGTCAGGTAAAACCGGATTTAGGGTTATTTAATAGAGGTTTAACGGTTCTGAAATTTTAGAATGGTTATCAAATGGAAGATATCAGAAGAATGTGTTTGTTCTGCATGCCAAAATGCTTTTTCCCGGGTGCAGTCGGGTAGACAAAAATCGTTTAATATAATGTACAAGCCACACAGATTGCCCAGCTTCCTATCGAAGCATGAACGCCGTGCAAATTTATCACTTCAAAAAATTAGTTATATTCTATTACCCATTTTTTAGTGCGGCTATGTATTCGGATCTGCATTCTCGTACAAATACTTCCTCTTACAGTATCTGTAAGTTCCACTCAATTAAGAAGAAATACCATCCTTGTAAAAGTTACATGAGAAGTCTTCCACAACCTCTGAAATTGTGGAATTTTTCTAGACTTTCGTTTAATAGGTCATATTGTGTAATAAAATAATTAACTGTACGAATTTTAGGAGACAGCAAACTTCGATGATGATGATTTATCTCAACAGTCTTCAAACAGATTCGATCTAGAAGTCAAAACTATTGCCAAGCCCACGTATTTTAAAGCGAAGCCTTCTTTATCTGGAATGAATGCGGCATTTTTTCTAAGAGAATCACCCCAGCGAAGGCGTTTAGAACCCAGCTCTCCAGAATGGCATTCTCTTCAAGCGGGTTCTCCATGGAAGCAGCGAACACTTGTAAAACGTTTTCCCATTAACTTCCCATTGCTTCCTGACGTAAATCCCCTATCGAATGACACGGCAGCCTCTGACACAGAGAAGTCTCCTTCTCGTTCTCCAGAATCTTCACTTCTTCCTTCTCCGCAACTCTCTCTCTCAACTCTCTCCTCTTCTTCGGCGACATCACCCTCTCCTACTCCGACGACTTCACATTCTTCTACTCCGACTACTTCAACTTCTACTACGAAGACTTCAACCTCTTCTGCTCCAACGACTTCAACCTCTCCTGCTCCGACGACTTCAACCTCTCCTGCTCCGACAACTTCATCCTCTCCTGCTCCAACGACTTCAACCTCTCCTGCTCCGACAACTTCATCCTCTCCTGCTCCGACGACTTCAACCTCTCCTGCTCCGACAACTTTATCCTCTCCTGCTCCGACGACTTCAACCTCTTCTACCTCGACAACTTCACCCTCTCCTGCTCCGACGACTTCAACCTCTTTTTCTTCTACGACTTCAACCTCCTCAAAAGCTTCACCTTCTCCCTACTCGAAAATTTCATTACCTTCTTCAAAAATTCCACCACCTCCTTCCAGTGAGCTTCTCACGCAGCTGTCAGCCAGTGCTTCCACAGAACTTTCAAAAGGCAATATGACGGCAGCTGCACCACTGCAGAGGATAGAACATTCAACTACTACTCAGGTAACATCCGGAAGTTCTGAAACATACCTTCAAAAAAAAATTCTAGCACTTAGAAATCTTCTTCTTTTGTGTAGCTTTTTTTTCATCTTTCATCTGACTATATCGTCAAGTACTGTAATAACTCTTTACAATAATTGCAATAAATCAGCGCAGCAATGTTCGCAACCGCTTTTCTATTAACCTCAGCAAAGGTCGAATAATTCGCAGTTCTTTTACCGAGCAAACACCAGGTGCTATTTTATTTCTTTATTTACGAGCAAGCTGATATTTCGGCGGATTTAGCCTTTCTCAGAGCCCAGAAAGGTTAAGATCATCACAATCTACTTAGCCAAACACCTCCATAACCAGAAAAAATGCTAGAACAAGATTTCAGTCACGCTGAACACAGAGTAGTTTCTTTGCACACCTTTCTTCTTCTTTGGACAATTGCTTGTGTTGTCACTCGTTAGTAAAAAAATATAACAACATCTGCTGCTTTTTCACCAAAATTGCCTTTGGTAGATATTCCGTACTAAGACATCATTATCGCTACCAATAAATGTAATGGATGCGCCCTCTATGTAATACATGGTTCTAAAGTAAATTTCAGAAGGAAGAAAACGAAGACATTTTTTAGTCTAATGTTCAACAAAAATTCTCAAGGTCAACTAACCAAGTGTAAAATTTTTCGGTTTACGGGAATTATGGAGACGTTTGCGTTTCATTTCAGCTACGTATATCTGTTTGAGAACTAGCTGGTGTTTAAAAAAAAGGAAAGAAGGAAAAGAAAAGAATTTGAAATTATGTCATTTTTCATTATTTTCATTATTTATTATTATTTTTATTCTTATTGGTATTCGACTCTCCACCACCATCAAGGCATGGTGATATGGGGTCAGTTTTGTACCATTACCCTTTAGTCATGAACGGCTAAACCATTTCCTTTCAATGAGAATACGGCCCAAGAGTAAATCACATGCTTTTGCAAATTCATTGAAATTCACTCAGTTTATAGCGACGACTGAAGAAACACTGCTTTCTTCTACGATCACAGAGGAATTCTCCACGATTTTATTTCCTTGAGGAGTCATTGATAGCTGCAGACCAAAACTAGGGGCGAGCTACAGTGTTATATTCTCATGCAATGCCTTCGATTGCTGCAACCGCACTATGGGTAGACTTCGCTTTTTGGACGACAGTTTATCCACAATCTGATTACTATTTGAACAAATTGATTTCGCAAAATTCACCTGATTGCGACGGCATTAACTCATTTAGAGGTTCTCAAAAGTACAATAACATTCCTTCTTTTCAGTCTTCTTCAAAATTGAATTTCAACCGAGACCGAAACCCATTCAGCAAAACAAGTCCAAAAAATGGATCGTTACTAAAGTATATGTTTATTTTATTCTGCCTTAGCATACGTTCATCAAGCCCTTCTCTGTTTAGCATTGGAGCGATCGTGTTTCTCGTCTGCTCATTGTTAAACACAATCTTCCTCGCCATATTAGGTGTTATTCTGGTACTGATGATGAGGGAAAAAAAGAGGATGAGCAAGAGGAGTGCCAAAACCCCGAAACACAGATCGAAATGAATGATTTTCAATTGATTATCGTAAGATGATAAAAATGATGACTATTTATGTAATAAATGTGGAGCTAATCGAGTGTTGTAAAAAAGCGACAATTTCATCCTATTCCCAGGTCTTTAAACTGACATTCATTTGTGTACCAAAACATTCAAACATATTAACATGTAATTTGGCCTATCCATGAACTTTCTGAAAAAAACAGCATGGATCATTTCCGGCGTTGGCACTGCACTAGTAGTGCTACTCATTACGCGGAAAAGCCAACCTAACCAAACGTCATTTCGGCACCACACTAGGCACCAAGCCTTCCATCTATCGACGACGGGAAATTTTGTGCCGTACTTGCCTGGAACCTGCTAGGATGACTATCCCAGGATTCTAGGAAGAATCAACTCGACCAGGAATCGGCGAAATTTACGCTGAAGGCGGAGAAAATCCTCCATCACTACGCAAACCCCGGCACAAAAGCTTTGAAGATTTTCGAGGTTGATGGATAGGAACACAAATCGAATGCAAGAATTGCTAGAATGCGCAACGTATGATATGTGATGTCAGGTTGTGTTAAAAAGGATCACTTCAAGAAACGTTGAATCGATCCTAACGTGTCAGTTTTAAATCCACTCCACATTAAGGTGATTGGATTTTTGGCAAATTGAAAAAGGCCGGACCGAAAACTACGAGCTACTTCTCGAAGGAAATTGATGAAGTTTTGACAAATTCTCGTTACTTCCTCAAGCAAAAAGATCGGACAAAATCTCCATTCCAACTGAACAGCTGCTTGAAAAAGAGGAAAACTGAAGAATGGTCCGACAGCAACGCACGCATTACGGCTAATAATAAATGCCAGTTTTTGTTTGTTTGCTTTGTTTTTGTTATTTGTTTTCTTTAGTTTTGGAGGAAGATCTACGTCGGTACAGGCAAAAAAGCTATTAGAAGTAGCAGAAAAAAAAACCAATCTAAAAAATGCCGCCGGTACTTGTGTTATTTTAGTGTTCACTGTCAGCCCTGATGAATTAAGCCCGGATCGCTAAAACTTTTCTCCACTTAATAACGCAAAATTCCGTCGCCAAGCTTTTCCTTTCTACCATCTAGGTTCCAAATCTTAAAATCTCCGCTGGAGAAAAACCCTCGGAATTCTTCCCTCAACCGTTCGAGTTGCGGTGGAAAACATGGAAGAATGCATAGGTCCAGGACCCGATGATATCACTGCTGACTTGCTTAGAGTTGGAGGCCACAACTTACATGTACCTCTCGCAACTATATGACATTCTACCTCTAAAAGGAAAACTCGCAGACCAGCGGGGACGCTGCGTACAGTCATCCTATTCAAGACGGTGACCGAAGCGATCTTCGTAACTATCGTCTGATGTGCTTGTTGAGTGTTCTCTACAATCTCTTCACAAAGATTATTCTGTAGAGCATATCAAAGACATTGAACGATGCGAAACCACATGAGCAAGGACGATTTCGATAGAGATTTTGCTGTATCTATAAGATGGAAACAGTGCCCAATGTCGTTGAAGTTCGTCGTGAATACCACCTGCTCCTAATACCAAGTTTTGCCGACCATGAGAAAGAGTTTGACAGTGCAGAAAAGAATTTATTTCATGAGCTCTCGACGACCACAGGGTGTAACGGCTCACAGCTCGAGGACGTGAGGGGCGTTCGCGGAAGTGCGCAAGAACTATGAACCGTCTGTGAGGTACCGCAAACTTGGGTAATTAAACCTTTATTAGTATACACATGTTACTTACACAACAACGCAAGGCGATATACAACTTCTGTCCAACAACTGTGAATAAGGTGGTTCAGTGGGTTTGTTACCTAATAAAACACATTAACAATAGTACACACACCAATGTAACGGCTAACAGCTCGAGGACGTGAGGGGCGTTCGCAGGAGTGCGCAAGAACTTTGAACCGTTTGTGAGGTACCTGTGAACAATGAATGTATTTAACTTATGTTAACACGGGTAACATAATTACACGAAAAACAACGATAACACTAATTGTCAGCGATTCAAGGGTTAAGGGCTACATATGCTATCATTAAGACCTAAGCAAATGAATCTACAAGGTGAAATCAAACGGGGTGGAATTAATGATGGGGCTGGCAAGGACGGTCTCGACGGCGTCATTGGGTCGAATGGCGGGACTACTGGGTGTGTCCCATGGCCGGAACGAGATATGGACGCAGAGGACGCGCGCGGCGTTGCAGCCACGCGATCCCCATCGATCCTTGAACTGTATTAGTTATAGTTCCCAGGATCGACTTTCTCTTAACCTCGGCATTGGAATATGAATGTGTCGTTTTCTTGTTCAGCAATCGCGAGGTTTTTAAACAGCATACATTTACTTCCATAAAAACACAATACAATACAACGCTAGCTGACGTTTCGGCAGTATCGCCTTCTTCAGAGCCTGGAAGGGTATACTGATATACAATCTACTAGGCCAAACGCTTCAATAACACTTACACAAAGACGAAAGACACTTTGGTAATTACATGATCAACAACTTCTCGAAAAACCCACCGCTTTTTCGTGACTTCCAATGAGGAAGTTTAGAACAGCTGATTACAGTCGCATATGGTTGACGACTGCACCATCCCACATCAAAAATCGATGCAAACGTACGGGATCAGATCGCGTATGACCTCCGGGCATTCGTCCCTGCTATTCATTGTAGGGTTTTTGGCATTGTTCCAAAAAGCCTCTAGAAGTTTTCGCGCTGGTGTTTTGGACTCCTGTGCAAGGATATTGACTTTTACTTCAAAATCGTCTCCGCTATGCTTTTGTATCCTATGCGTGCCTAGTGGGGTGCTTCGTCTTAGTTTTCGTTTGCCATCTAGGTGTTCTTTTATACGTATACACAAAGGTCTGCCCGTTTCGCCAATATATTCACCTCCGCAATTGTTACACGAGATCAGGTATGTCGTGCCTGAACTCATGCAATCACCGTCCCTGCCGTAAGGGCAAATTACGCAATTTGTTGTTTCACACAGTCGGTCATACAGGAGGTTGCGAACTAATTGGCGACGTAGAGTAGTCGGTGGTATTTCAACTATCGCTACCGATTCCTCTAGACCTGCCCTTCTTAAGCATCGCTTTATAACTGCGCTTACTTCATCGCTTATAAAAGGCTCTGAAAAAGGCGATACTGCCGAAACGTCAGCTAGCGTTGTATTGTATTGTGTTTTTATGGAAGTAAATGTATGCTATATTAGTTATGTCTGAACGGGATATGGACGCAGATGACGCGCGCGGCGTTGCAGCCACGTGATCCCCATCGATCCGTGGACTGTATTAGTTATGCGGATAGAGAATTCTCTATCTGATTGAGGAATTCTTTATGCAGGGTGGTCCAATCCATTATAAGAACTCTATCTGACTGCTATCGAAGTTGCAAATTACTATACCTCTCGGAAAAGGAGTTAGACTAGCGACATCACATCGCATAACTGCCCCAGCGCAGCAGATAACGAACTCATTCCTTTAAGATGAGAAAGACATATGCATCAACGAAAAATTTCTACCAAATCTTCATTTCGTCGACGAAATCGTCATTTTTTCAAGAAGAACCACCGATCAGGATACGCTGATTAATGGTCTCAATGAAGAGGAAAAACGGATCGGACTAGGCATAAATTGGAAGAAGACCAAGTCTATGAAAAATCCAAGGTGTGAAAGAGATAAGATCAAGTTGTCTGGTTTTCTGATGATCATGGAAAGAACACGAAGAACAAATGAGACAGAAGAAGCTTGGGCTTCATTCGGGCCTGTCTCTCAAAGAAACCTCGGACCAACTAAGTGTTCCGATAGTCCGCCCTCAGCTTTTGGATCCAGTTCAACAACGTTTGGTTATGCAGCAGAGACGTGGGCTAATACTTTAACCACGTCGAGTGTAGTGCACACCACCACAGAGCGCTCAAACGATACCCTCTGAAATATAACCGTACATTTAAGGCCTAACCGGGAAGCCCTGGTCTTCGAAATCTACCTCATCTTCGAGACCAAGAAAAACTCGTACTGATACTGAGTCATCAATGGGCCGGTCATGTTATGAGAAGAACAGATGATAGGTGGGCGATAAGACCTGTAGAGTAGGGCGATGACTGCGAGGTAAAGAAACGAATGGAAAATGTGGCCAGGACAACTCACGAAGACACGCCGTCCAAGTATGCAAACAAGTTTTCGCCTCACCTATAATTTTCCTAGCATAGATAACACGGCGAGGAAAACCTTATTTGCAAAATCGTCATTCTTTCCGTATAATCTGTTCATCAAGAACTATTAGGGATCTGCAAAATGAATGCACGTTTTTGCTCTTATGATTTCTGTGAGTTCATTTCATATAAAACATTTTCTGCCTACATTGTTCTCAAGCACCATTATAACGTTCCTTCTATACGTTCAAGGTCGTGAATACCGCAGAAGAAGTAACTTGAAATGTAATCAAAAGCCTGGTGCCGAATAAACACTTCTAAATGTACACTACGATAACGATCGAATAGCTTCTAACAGAATTATGTAGAAACACGGGTTTCAATGACGAAGAAAACCATGAGCGATCATAAGTAGTTTATGACTATCACCTTAGGATGGTGGCAGATGATCCTAACCGGTCTGCAATCTAAAGAAAAGCTGAGCGTTCATTATTCAACAACTACTGTCATTTGATAGAAATTCGAATTTTGAAAAACCTCGATGAATGAATTCCACGAGAATTCAAAGAAAAGCAAAGAGATCGCCTTTATCAATTCTATTACGCCGTTGTTTTGCACACAAAGAAAAGAGAGGACACGTTTCTCTAACGTATTTCTGTCCATTTTTTAACGATGGCTTGCAATTAAGTTTGATCCTACACCCCAACCGATGATCAACGGAGCAATGGTTCAACCGATACGCATCTACTTAGCCACACTCAGCGTGGAACTTTCAACAAAAGATGGCTATGGTAAAACTTTAGTGATCTACAGCTGCCTCCGCCACAGTTTTTTGAATCCCATCGGGACGACCACAGCAGAGAATGCACAAGTCTAGCGTTGCCGAAATTCATTCACAAAATACTCGTTAGAATTATCTCCACCGACTACTGCTTATTTCGCGTATTTCTACAACGATACGTTGGGAAATTTTTCAAGAACCAGGCTGCCACTGAGAGTTTCGGGAAATTCAAGCTTTCCAGAACATCAGGGCCATGTGCTGTCTAAATAAGTAAACTGCACATTCGTTTGAGAACAAAATGGGAGAAGCTAGTTTCTATTCCACGTGTTAAATTCTTAGTTGATTCGAGCGGTAATATTTCAACCTCTTCAGTGATGCTGAGATATTTGCAAAACTCCGGACCGCATGTGTCTGCTGTGAGAAAAGAACACGCTATTACCCTCTCCGGGGTGTAACGCGTTCACCACCACACTATGCGTGTTCTTCTTTTCTCCTGTCTCTGAGCCTGTTCTATCGATCGCTGCCATCAGCAATCACCCGTAAGCGGAATTGATCTGGGGAGCCGAAATCGGCAAGGAACCCAGTTAAGCTGAGTTAAGTTATGTTTCGCAATATACCCTGCCGTTAAAAAGAGTAGGCAGTAGATAATAAGTTAAAATTTTAAACTAACCGATCAAAAACGACCATTTCTACTGTGCCGACTTGTAAGGACACCGGATAATTAAGATAGAGATGTGTTCAACGTTATAAAAGGCGTTATTGAGAGCGTAATGCTACGAGTATCCTGTACCATGAAACTTGGAGTTAAAATGCAGAGTTCCGATCTGCGTCGAAGATCAAAGAAGCCGCCACGCTCTTCTGGGTGTCGGATGTTTGATGTGTTACTTATGTTGTGTGCAAACGGCGAAAGTGGGGTAGGAGCCGTTCCAAACCATATTTTCAGATATTTTAAACCCATAATGGGAAGAGTCTTAACACAGTATTTAAGAGACTTAACGCAATGTTCAAATTGCTTTTCAAAGCCTCCAAACGAAAAGTGTAACACTTTTCGTGCATCTTCCATTATAAAGCTAATTCGAGGTGGATAAAGATGTTTATTTGACTAACGTTTCGCGGTATTCGTCTTCCTCAAATCCAATGGTCCGATTAGAAAGTCGACAGTCGCTCGTCTTGCAGAAAATATTGATTTCCTATTAAAAAATATTGATTGCTACTTTACTATTGAATGGCATCGATTTACTTTTCGGTAGTTTCAAGAAGCGAAACCCTTAAACAGCTCCCACACATGGTTCACACTAGTGGAGAATTCACTAGTACCTGATTAAGTCACTCGTCTGTCAACGGGAAAGCAAGTGACGCATGTAAAATCAGTAACTCATTGTCAGGAAGGTCATCGCTCAACATCTTCAAACAGAATCACAGCAGAGATAACTCTTTGTAAAAATTTCCGCTCTCTTTGAAATAGGCCGTGAGACTCGAAGGAAAGATAGAACTCATCCCAAACAATTTTTTTCTGAATCCTGCGAGCGGTAAGTTTCAATGTGCAAAAAATAGGCGTGCTCAGACAATGTTTGGTGGGACATTCATTGCAGGGAAGCTATTTATTGGATGAAATAGTATGGAACAAAGTTTGCGCGAAAGGAAACTACGAAAAATAAAATGCGCCTTATATGACTCATATTTTTCGAATTCCTTTTAAAATTACAATAACTCTGCGAGGGGCCTTGGTAGTTCCGTGATGAAATGAAAAAATATAGCATCTTATGCGAAATACGACCACAGTGATGCTGAGCTATTTGCAAAACTCCGAATCGCAGGTGTACGCGGTGTGAAACGAACGCGTTATTACCTTTTCCGGGAGCTAACGTTTTCACCACCACACCATGCAGGTCTTTTGTTTCGCCTGTTTCTCAGGTAGTTCTATCGATCAGTGCAATCAACAATCATCCATCAACGGGATCGATCTGGGGAGCCGTGAAAATTGCAATTGGTAGCAAATGAAAAGTTAACATTGTGAATCAACTACAGCCTCGACTTAACGTGGTTCAATGCCGATTTGGACTCCCAGATAAATCCTGTTGACAGATAATTGTTGATGGCACTGATCGACAGAACTAGTTGAGAGACAGGCGAAATGAAGGACCCGCGTGGTGTGGTGGTGAACGCACGAGCACCCGGAAAGGGTAATAGCGTGTTCGGTCTACCACCACAGACACCTGCGAACCGGAGTTTCGCAAATATCTCAGCATCATTGTGGCTGTGTTTCGCCTCGCCCTGAAAATTGTAATAAGCAGCAAATCAAAAGTTAATATAAAGCAACTTATTCCCGCGGCTTCATCTCGCGGTTCGAATTCGTATAGGAATAGCTTAGTCTTATTCTTCACCAATATACATAATAATAGAACAATTTAAATTTAACAGATCGTTATAAAAGTGAATAGAATACTATTAAAATTGAACGAATGCAAATCGGATCCTGAAAATGTGTGATATTAACGAAACTTATGTTTATCTTTGAAGAAAAAAATATCTTTGTCAAGAAATAGAGCATGAGGTTTCATCAAATCAAATGTTTCCTATCCTAGCTTGGAGTGAAGCTGTATAATTTGGATTTGTCGGTGTAGGAATCCCGTTCGTGCAAGAATTATTTTCCTCCGACTGATGAAGAAATTTGATGTTGATAAAAAAATTTTGGTTGTTCCGTTTTGCGACCGTGCGCTTCCGAAAGATCTTCGTCCGCTTTTCCTCAATTCGTTCCTAGGGGAGACTATTCCTTCAATTTTCTAATGTTTTATGGCTTTTCCGAAGACCAACTTTCTATTAACCTCGGCACTGATCAGACAATGGCAAATACAATAATAGACGTGATAATTTGATAATAAGCATGATAATAACTTAGAACGCGACCGTCATTGAACCTTGGTAGTAAAATAATCAACACGTCTTTAGATTGATGAGCTTGGATGACGTTGATAAAGATGTTTATTCGGCTAACCTTTCGACGTCTTCGCCTTTCTCAGAGCCGGTGACCTGATTCGATGGTGCACAGTTGTTCGTGTTCTTATGATAATTTTTAGTGTAACTCCCACGCGGCTTTCTATTAACCTCGGGATTGATCAAGTAATTCTTCGTATTCTTGTTGAGCAAACGCGAGGGGTTATTTTTATTCTTTATTCACGAATAAGCTGACGTTTCGGCGGATTTTGCCTTTCTCAGAACCTGGAAAGGTCAAGTTGACAGTAATCTATTCGGCCAAACACCTCCAAAACCAAACGAAGAAAGCGCTGAACCAAGATTTCACTTACATTAAACACAGTTTTGCCCACTCACCGCTTTCTATGGGGCTTAATGCAGTTGCTAGTCGAAAATAGGCCTTCGAGTCAGTTTTAGGCACCGAATAATCACTAGCTTTTAGCAGAATGCTCGACTTCGTGAGATAAATGCCACGCGGGACTTTTCGTAGTTGTCACAAGGCAACATCCCAAACTTGGGTAATTAAACCGTCTATATACATAAATGTAACATCAATACAACACTAATATCGACCGACAACTAGTGGCACACAAATAAGCCAAGTTCAAGGCTATGAGGTGCTGTACCTACTACTAAAGTGAGGCTCACGAAGGCATAAGAGTATTGTAAATAATACTGGTACAACATTAGTACTATGACAACAGTAACTTGATAACAATGACAAGTAAGGGGATACGAACGATGGCGCCCGTACTGGCGCGTACAGTGGCCCAGATGCCGAGGGCTAGAACAACAGACGAGTGAGATGCAGATGAGCACTGCATTAGGCTAAGTTAGGGATCGTATGTAGAGCGGCTGGGTGCACTTGCACATCAATCGATGTGGATGGCAAGTCACCTAAGCATCGATGGCGGAAGTGACTACGAACGAGATGGGATATCTAGGGAACACGGTCAGGTGGCCGCTCTTGGATAACGATATGTCAGCAACGTGAAGTTTGAGCATTGATAGGAGCCACCAGTGCCTAAGAGATTATAGGCCAAAAAAATAACGACTGAGAAATGATAAGCCTATAGCGGCTTAACAAATACACAGCATAAGTTGGCCGGCTAGCGGCCTTGTACGCATGGTGTACCGTG